GGGGGACAGGGCTGGCACCGGTGCCCGGCGCGGTGACGGTGACGACACGGTGACACCCGGCGGGGTGTTGTCCCTCCCCCTGGTGGTGCCCGGGGGGGGCGGTGGTGGCAGTCACACGGCGGGTGACACCAGCACGGTGACAGTGTCCTGGTGTGGTGGTTGTGGTGGTGCCCAGCGTGCGGTTGTGCCAGCTCACGGCGGTTGTGCCCGGCGCAGGGGTTGTGCCCCGGCTGTAGCCGCGTGGCACGGCGGTGTCTGGCTCGGCAACACCCCCCCTGTGCCGGTGATGCCCGTCCCGGTGGCACCCAGTCCGGTGGGGATGCTCATCCCAGTGGTACCCAGTCCGATGGTGGTGGCCTCCCCGGTGACACCCAGTCCGGTGGTGATGCCCATCCCGGTGGTACCGGGTCCGGTGGTGATGCTGGGCATGATGGTATCCAGTCCGGTGGTGATGCTGGGTACCCACATGTTCAGCCTGGCACATGCGTGTGCTCTCTCCATTCCCAGCCTGGCACACATGTGTGCTCCCTCCCATGCCCAGCCTGGCACACCTGTGTGCTCCCCCTCATGCCTGGCACGCATGTGTGCTCCCCATCCATATGTGACTGGCACACGCATGTGCTCTCCTCATACCCAGCCTGGCACACACATGTTCTCTCTCCATTCCCAGCTTGGCACACACGTGTGCTCCCCATCATGCCTGGCACACGTGTGTGCTCCCCTCATACCCAGCCTGGCACACCTGTGTGCTCCCCCTCGTGCCTGGCACACGTGTGTGCTCCCCATCCATACCCGACTGGCACATGTGTGTGCTCCCCTCTGTGCCCAGCATGGCACACGCGTGTGTCCCTCCCATGCCCAGCTTGGTGCACACGTGTGCTCCCTCTCGTGCCTGGCACATGCGTGTGCCGTCTCCCTTCCCAGCCTGGCACACATGTGTGTGCTCCCCTCTGTGCCCAGCATGGCACACGCGTGTGTCCCAAGTCTGGTGGTGATTCCAGACTGGGTGACAACCAGTTTGGTGGTGATGCCCATCCCAGCGGTCCCCAGTCTGGTGGTGATGCTGGGCATGATGGTACCCAGTCCGGTGGCAATTCCAGACCGGGTGACACCCAGTTTGGTGGTGACATCCATCCCGATTGTCCCCAGTCTGGTGGTACCCAATGCCCTCTCCCTTCCCAGCCTGGCACACGTGTGTGCTCTCTCCATTCCCAGCCTGGCACACGTGTGTGCTCCCCCTCATGCCTGGCACACACGTGTGCTCTGCCTCGTTCCTGGCACATGCGTGTGCCCTCTCCCTTTGTTGTGCCCCGGCTGTAGCCGCGTGGCACGGCGGTGTCTGGCTCGGCAACACCCCCCCTGTGCCGGTGATGCCCGTCCCGGTGGCACCCAGTCCGGTGGGGATGCTCATCCCAGTGGTACCCAGTCCGATGGTGGTGGCCTCCCCGGTGACACCCAGTCCGGTGGTGATGCCCATCCCGGTGGTACCGGGTCCGGTGGTGATGCTGGGCATGATGGTATCCAGTCCGGTGGTGATGCTGGGTACCCAAGTCTGGTGGTGATTCCAGACTGGGTGACAACCAGTTTGGTGGTGATGCCCATCCCAGCGGTCCCCAGTCTGGTGGTGATGCTGGGCATGATGGTACCCAGTCCGGTGGCAATTCCAGACCGGGTGACACCCAGTTTGGTGGTGACATCCATCCCGATTGTCCCCAGTCTGGTGGTACCCAATCCGGTGGTGATGCTGGGCTTGATGGTACCAGTCTGGTGGTGATTCCAGACTGGGTGACACCCAGTTTGGTGGTGATGCTGGGTACCCAGTCCAGTGGTGATTCCAGACTGGGTGACACCCAGTCCGGTGGTGATGCTGGGCATGGTGGTACCAGTCCAGTGGTGGTGACAGGCACGGTGACACCCAGTTTACGTGTGCTGCCCCTCATGCCTGGCACACGCGTGTGCCCCCCCCGTGCCCTCTTTGCCGCAGCTCTGGGTCGGACACATTTATTGGGGGCCCCTGAGGCCGCCCCCTCCCCGGTGGTGATGCCCATCCCGGTGGTACCGGGTCCGGTGGTGATGCTGGGCATGATGGTATCCAGTCCGGTGGTGATGCTGGGTACCCAAGTCTGGTGGTGATTCCAGACTGGGTGACAACCAGTTTGGTGGTGATGCCCATCCCAGCGGTCCCCAGTCTGGTGGTGATGCTGGGCATGATGGTACCCAGTCCGGTGGCAATTCCAGACCGGGTGACACCCAGTTTGGTGGTGACATCCATCCCGATTGTCCCCAGTCTGGTGGTACCCAATCCGGTGGTGATGCTGGGCATGATGGTACCAGTCTGGTGGTGATTCCAGACTGGGTGACACCCAGTTTGGTGGTGATGCTGGGTACCCAGTCCAGTGGTGATTCCAGACTGGGTGACACCCAGTCCGGTGGTGATGCTGGGCATGGTGGTACCAGTCCAGTGGTGGTGACAGGCACGGTGACACCCAGTTTGATGGTGATTCCAGGCACGGTGACACTCAGTTTGGTGGTGATGCCCATCCCAGTGGTACCCAGTCCGGTGGTGATGCTGGGTATGGTGGTACTGAGGCCGATGGTGATGCCAGGCATGATGGTACCCAGTCGGGTGGTGATTCCAGGCACGGTGACACCCAGTCCAGTGGTGATGCTGGGCTTGATGGTACCAGTCTGGTGGTGATTCCAGGCATAGTGACACCCAGTTTGGTAGTCCCCAGTCTTGTGGTACCCAGTCCGGTGGTGATGCTGGGCATGATGGTACCCAGTTTGGTCGTGGTGACAGGCACAGTGACACCCAGTTTGGTGGCGATTCCAGGCACGGTGACACCCAGTCCGGTGGTGATGCTGGGTACCCAGTCGGGTGGTGATTCCAGACTGGGTGACCCCCAGTCCGGTGGTGATGCCCATCCTGTGGTCCCCAGTCCGGTGGTGATGCTGGGCACGATGGTACCAGTCCAGTGGTGGTGACAGGCATGGTGGTACCCAGTCGGGTGGTGATTCCAGACTGGGTGACACCCAGTCGGGTGGTGATGCCCATCCCAGTGGTACCCAGTCTGGTGGTGATGCTGGGCATGGTGGTACCCAGTCCGGTGGTGGTGACGGGCACGGTGACACCCAGTTTGGTGGTGATGCCCATCCCAGTGGTACCCAGTCCGATGGTGATGCTGGGCATGGTGGTATCCAGTTGGGTGGTGATTCCAGACTGGGTAACACCCAGCTCGGTGGTGATGCCCATCCTGTGGTACCCAGTTGGGTGGTGATGCTGGGCATGGTGGTACCCCGTGATGCTGGGCATGATGGTACTGAGGCTGGTGGTGATGCTGGGCATGGTGGTACCCAGTGGGGTGGTGACGGGCATGGTGGTATCCAGTTGGGTGGTGATTCCAGACTGGGTAACACCCAGCTCGGTGGTGATGCCCATCCTGTGGTACCCAGTTGGGTGGTGATGCTGGGCATGGTGGTACCCCGTGGGGTGGTGATTCCAGACTGGGTGACACCCAGTTGGGTGGTCCCCAGTCGGGTGGTGACGCCGGGCCCGGTGGCCCCCAGCCCGGTGACGATGCTCCTCCTGGTGACGATGCCCATCCCGGGGGTGGCCGGGTCTGTCTCCCCCCCGTCCGAGGGTGCCCAGCGTGTCGGCGGTGCCCGGTGCGGGGGTGCCCGGTGCGGGGGGTGCCCGTCCCGGGGGGTGCCCGGGGGTGCGGGCCCCCTCAGGCCTCCGAGGCCGCCTGGGGCTTGAGCTGCGCCTTCTCCATGGCCGTGCCGTAGGGCCCCGCGCGCTTGAAGAAGCCCAACTGGGGGGGGGTCAAGG